TATCAACTATCCGCTACAAGGTTTTTGAACCGTGGTTGACTCGGATGGTCGAACCGTTCGGCCTAGGAACCATCCAGGCAATTGGTTCCATTTTACCCCAAATCTGGTCCTTAGCAAAAAACCATCGAAAAAGTTAACAATCCATTAACCCGAGCGGTCGAACCATCGATCTATCGACCCATCGAAGGTTTTTGGCCATTTTTTATTTTTAATTATTTTTTTACTTGTTTAATTTTTTTGTTAGAATGGGCCATCCATTCGAATCAGATGATTGGACCATCGACTCAGAAACCTATGGCCAAAACGGTTTCATTTCTAGGTCATTTTTTAAAACCATGATCCGCTATGTTCTGTCGAGGAAGTAGAGACTTTGGCCACTTTGGGTGCTCTTCAATTTGTAAAGGACCTAAGCCTTCTAAGTAGCTATCATCAAGTTGCTGTTGCCTTGGTGGGTCAACCCACTATAGCTAGTATCATTGTAGATTGCAATGGCCTTTTACCTAGGGGTGTTCATTGTTTGGTTCAAACTATAAAACCAAACCAAACTAAATCAAATTTGTGGTTTGGTTCGGTCTACAACACCTAAAAATGGTTTGGTTTGATTTCATACTTTGCTAAATTGTGGTTTGCGATTATCGTTTGGTTTCTTAGATTTTATAAGTGAACCAAACCATAAATTGTAAGCCTTAAACCAAAATTATATATATGAATATACCATATAATTATATAAATAAATGATGTATAAACATTATATATAATATAATATATCTAAACTAAATGTATAAAATTATAAATATATAACAAACTCTTTTATTTTATAATAAAATAATAAAATAAAGGTTTTAAGTTTTAATTTTTAGGGATGTTATTTGGGCTAAGCCCAAATAGAATCAAATAATGACCCAAAGTTCCCAAAACTGTATTAGAAACCGCACCAAACCATAATAAAACGGTTTGGTCTGATTTGGTTTCCATGCCAAAATAGTTTAATTTTATTTCAGAATTTCTTAAACCATAATTTACTGATTTATTCCGAGATCTTCTCTAAACCATACCGAACCAGACCATGAATTTCTGAAACCGTAATTTACCCTCCTTTCCTATGTGCCATTTTACATACACTCAAAGACTTTGCAATAGCCTACGTGGCTCACTTGAACCACCTTTTATCCATGCTCTTATTGTATATGGCATTTCCTCTTAATTAATGAATGCTTAATTTATTCTTAGAAAACAGAAACAAAACAATGGCAATACCAAACACCACCATAATGACATTAACATATTAGTAAATATGTACGTATATTTTCACATGACAATATCTCTAAGATAAAACTATTTATAATTTATGAATCATTTTTGAATAATTATAAATGGACAATTTTGGAATAGTTGAGAGTAAAAACTATATATATCCATTCATGCTTAAACAAAAAGAATAAAAAATATCAAATGAAAATTCCGAAAAGAAGAGACATTTACTCTTTTATAAATAATATAAATATAGATTGTAATTATTGCCTGAGATGGGCTGGGAATAATTTTCAAAGGGTAGGGCAGGTTGGATCGATAATCCTATTTCAAATAGCCGGGTTAGGTTCGGATCGACCAAAATCCATTTCAAACCCGACTTGTTGATATCCTACACGGATTAATGGGCATTTACTGATATCTGCCACATGGAAAGTTATGAGGGCCTCAAGCCATACAGATGCCATTGGTCCCACGTCCATAGATATCAATATCCCTCGCAATTAATGTTTCTAAAATGTTCAACATCCTTATTCATTAATTGAAGAGGAAGGAGGGAATCTTTTTGGTCTGTGTCTGAAACAAAGGATCGAGGTTGCTGTGGAGACCTCCAAGCCATAGAATTATGATAAATCTCTTGACGATTTCTCTAAGGGTTTTTATTCTTCAGTCCATTTAATAAATTTTAGTTTCACGGTACAGTTGAAATAGGTGTCAGACTGGAATTGATGCAAAGGTATTGATATTATAAGTGGGGTATTTAAAATTTTGAATTATTATAAATCTGCAAATGAAATTTAGAATTTTGAGATGGAATACAGTATAATTTTTACTTTCTCTAACCTATTTCCTGAAACCAAAGACTGATTGATTTCATACTTCAGAGCTCATTCACATATCCCCCATCAATAACGCGTTTATGACCGGAAGCCACTAAGACTAAGGAATTTGTTTGCTATGATCACACGTCTCAATCCCCAAGTGTTTATACCCCACCAAGAAATAATTACAACTATTGCCCTAACATTCGAATCTCTTCATTCAACTTTTCCCCCCAAAAAAAAACTATTCATTCAACTAATAATTATCCTAACCCATTGAGTGTTTTCAACCGTAATAATCCCTTACATTGGTTTGGTGCTTTCCTTGTTTTTTCTTGCTCATGAGGCCCGACTAACAGAAGGCCTCAACCTGAAGTGAAGTGAATCAATCAGTTTTAGGCTCTTACCCACAAGGGCTCCCTGCAACAATATTGCTCATGGAAATAGGGTTTTATTTCCTTCTATCATACAACAATGGTGGGTTTTTTTTTTTATTTAAGATAAGAATTTCCATTTTTTACTTTGTTCATAATTCATTATGGTATGATCCTCTTAGGCTCATCACAACTAATACAATTGAAATATTTAAGTTCTGACTAAGTTAAGATTATTTAATTATTGTTAGGGTTTTAATATTTTCTATCTCTACCTGACATTTATTCTTGTTCTTAAACTAAAGAAATTTCAGTAACATTTGGTGTAAGCAAATGCGTTTTTCTCTTTCAGGCATCAAGTCATTAACTACTTTGGACGATATGATAGGGTCAATCCATTCTGTCTTTAGATGGGATCCGGCTGTTCAGTTCGTGGTCAATGGTTTAGTTAACACTTAGCAGCCAATTATGGCTCCAGCGCTTTATAGTGGACAGCGTAGCTTGTCCTCCTCAAACCAAACTATTTAATTAGATTTTTTACCAGCTAGGCCGTGTGATGTACATGTTTTGTAAGAAAAAAAATCTAATTAGATTTTTGGCTTTTTGGCCTGAGGCTACTCTTGGATAGGGGTGAGAAAAAAATCGAAAAGTCGAATTTATCAAAAAAAACCGGTTAATCGAACCGGTCAGTTTAGTTTTGGTTTTGATTAACCAATATAGGAAACCGGCGGTTAACCGAACCGACTGATATACATATATTTTTATATATATATATTTATGTATATTATATATATATTTTATATATTATAAATTAATAAATATGCATTATATATTTATAATATATGATATATTATTTATTATTTAAAATATAATATTTTATATATAATTATAATTTGTTATTATATATTTATATAAAATATTGTAAAAATAAAAAAAAACTAACAAATCGAACCGGTTAACCGATTAATTTCAGTTTGGTTTCAGTTATCGGTTTTCCAAAAACCGGTAGTACCAGTTCAACTACAAAAAAGGCCCTTGATTCGGTTAACCAAACCTGAGCACCCCTACTCTTGGATGCCATTGGCTGATACAATACACTATAATTTTTTATTTTTTTATTTCATTGGAGCTGTACAATGGGAAGTCGGGAATTGCGAGCTGATTCTTGCAAGACATTACAACCGCACATCAAAAATACCTCTCCATCAAAATTATAACATACAATTATGAGAGATGTTCTTAATGTATGATTGTAGTGTCTCTTGGATAGCAAGTCCAAAGAAAACGATAGCAAATCCCATAAACCTATAACCCCTTTCAAGGTTTTTAAAACCAGTCCAGAAAGAAACCATTATGGGGACTGGTTTTCGGGTCAAACAGTCCAATTGTTTGGTTTGAATGTATAATTCGTTCTTACTTTAAAAAAATTAGAAAAAAAAAAGCTCAAAACCATTGTCCGGGCTAATGGTTTGACCACCTGAATTAACTAATTACTACCAAATCGACAGTTTTTAACTAAAAAGCAATTTTAGGGTGAAATAAAACTGCTTACCTGACCGGTTCCCAAATTTTCTGGTCCAATTTTTAAAACCATGGCCCCTGACCCAGGTAGCAACGAGGTTTAATCCTAATAAGTCTCAACTACAACATCACTTGTCTTCTCCTTACCACATTGAAAGGGCTATATAACCAATTATGAGTGAAGACCGAAGACACCGGTATTTCCTATACATAGAATACAACTGACAAGATAATTTACACTTGGGTGGTATTTAACCAAACAAAAACATTAGTTATTTTTACAGAGGTTCAACTATAATACGGGAAAGACATGTATCAGAAAAACATGTAACCAATCAATCGTTATCGTTATTATAAAAGTGGTAATCAATTAGATTGTATTTATCAAAATTCAGAAGAAATTTTAATGTCAAAGCCCTTAAAGGTATCATGTCTTCGGACAGTATAGTTTGGCTTGGATGTACTACCCATAACAACGCTGCCCACACATATCTAAGAGATTGTGCAGCCGTATAGTCTCATCATTTAGATATTCCCGATGCACCATGATTCATGAGCTTTGTGTAGTGTGGTTAGCGTTTGTGGGTAGCAGATCTGGAGTCATTTTCGTAGACGTGCCAAAGAAATCTGATGGGTTGGCTAGTTGGCTTTTGTGATGAACCGATCAAAGAATGTTGGACCCAACCGGCTACCGATAAACGACGTGTGGACCCAAAACCAATGACTTGAATGTTTGACTATGGGGTTCATACTTTATACCGAAATATGCGTGTACGAATGTACATCGTCGGAATTTTTAATCACGGTCGTGAAATCATGATAGATGTTCAAGATTTCACAAATAGGAATAGGATCATGCGACCATGACCAAAAATCATTGTTGGAGACTTGGGAGTCTTCTTGAATGTCGAATCCGATCAATTGGTAGAGATCTATGATTTGAATCCAACGGTTTAGAATAATGCAACGAATGGCATTCTTGATCCTTAAAACATCACATCACTACCTCCATTAATTCACGACTTGTGCGTTCCTTTCTGTCTCAATTTTCTTCACAACGAGCGAGAAGGAGAAACAAAAGAAAGGGTCAGAGACAGACACCGTAGAAAACGAAGCCTTTTCATTTTTTCTCTATCGTAGCAGCGGAGGAACAAAGAGGGAGGGAAAGGGGAAGCCGGTGAAATGGGGGAACCTCCAAGTCCAATATTCAATTCGAGACCCTACAATGTTTGAAGGAAAAAAGTCCGTCGCTTAAATCAACACCGACGGCTTTGATCGTCTAGGGCAAATCACGGTTCTTTCTCTTCCAATTAAGTCTCAGCTGATTTTCTTGTTCTCTCTATTGGAACAATCTTCGCTTTGTTTTTTCTTCAGTTGCGTTACGATTATCTGTCAGAAATGTGTTGGCCGAGTTTCGGCTCGTGAAGGTAAGGTTTTTGATTCGCTTTCGTGGAAAGCTTGTAATTCTCTGCGTAGGTTTTCGTCGGTCGTGCTCGGGAGGAGATTAAGCGCGGATCTATACGTTCTGGGGTTGTGTTTCTCTTTCGGTTTTAAGTGAAACTCGCCGAGAACCGGTGAAATTTTAGGGAATTGGTTTAGTTTCCAGAGAAGGCCTTTGGGTTTTTTTTTTTCATTTTTTTTTCGGCGGGGAATTGGTCGTCTCTAGTTTCTCTTTTCTTTTTTCTTTCCTCCTCTTTCTTTGTTCCTTGTAAAGATGGAAGGTTCTGGCGGGAATTCGGAGACGTATAGAAATTCCACGGGTGTCGGTGGTAGTTCGAGAAGGTACGGTGTGCAGTTCTCGGCATCGAATTTTATACAGGCACCATTGTCGGCATTGTTAGAGTATTCTGGCATTCTTAGAGGCCGATCGAGTCATTTGGAAACGGAGAGTTTGGTCAGTGGAGGTGCCGCAACTGGTCTCCGCGATCACATTCAAAGCCGATTGGATGATTCAGCTGCAGGCAGTAGCGGGGACGAGGTTTCGATTAGGATAATTGGTGCCGGAGAGCAAGAACATGGCAGGGCAGGGACCGGTTTGTCAAGTTCGCCGGTTGGTGCAGGGAGAGAGGCAGGTTCTGGCGATAGTGCTGTACCGACTGAGCACGTGGCTGGATCAGCAGCAGCTATGGCGGATGGGCAGGGGGATTCTGGTAATGAAGGCGGAGTTGGAGAAGGGGTTTCTTCGACATCGTCCGCTTCTATTTCGGCTGTTCATTCTGGTAATGGAAGCACGAATGGTGATGCGGGGAATGGTGCTGGAGGTAATAACAGAGATTCGTCTTACCAGAGATATGATATCCAACAGGTTGCAAGATGGATAGAGCAGATACTTCCATTTTCTTTGCTGCTGTTGGTTGTCTTCATTCGACAACATTTGCAAGGTATTTGTTTCCACTCATATATTTGTTTTGGTATCCGTTGCTGTAGCTGTTCTCATAAACCATCCATTAACATGACAAATGGAATGCAACCCATGAAATATATCTTAACAGTTAACTTGTAGATTTATTTAATCTTTGCCTAGTTTAAACTTATGCAGGATTAGTAGAGAAATGGATAAAAGAACTTAACTAGAAACCAAAGATGAGGTTTCTATGAATATCTTAGGGGCAACGAGTGCTGTTTGTTAGGTTTATGATGGGGTTATAAGCCTAAATTACTACAGCAGGTTGTTGCTATCACTTCAGTCTAAAGGAGCAAAACTAATGGTGAAATAAAAGGGAAGCAGATAAGGCTGTGTAAAACTTATAAATAGAAACAATTAGTAGATAGATAGTGGAGGGTGCGGAAAGATAAGTGAGAAACTAAGAGAGGGTGGTAATTTAGTGATAAATAAATAAACACCAATAAAATAAAGGAAAGTTTAGAATAGTAATCCAAATTTAGTAAATTATTCTTTGAATGACATTTCTACTGTAAACTAAACATAGGTCCTAAAAGAAAAAGGTGTTTAAATAGGTTTATATACAGGATTTAACATATCTCTTTTGAGATTAAAGTTTGTTACCCGATCTTGGTCTCAGCTATCTAGGTTTGGGGGCTTGGATTGGATACAGATCTCAACTTTGGCATTTTTTTTTTGAGAAGAGGTAAAGTAAGAATTCATTAAGAGAAAGAAAATTCCCTGTAGAACTACAGGCTATAACAGGGAGAACAATACAATTATACAAAAATTAAGCCACTATCCCATCACCAATTACAAAGGACTTACATAATCAAAAAGGGAACTGTAATCTGAACCGTTTAAGTTAAACTGAGCTGATGACCAAGAAAACAGTTTGCCCACAATTTTTTTGCCATACATCCTCCACTTGGCTGCCTTTGTTCTGAAAGATTCTAGTGTTCCTCTCCTGCCATAAAGTCCACCATACCACTCCGGGAATCATTTTCCAAATAGCCATTCCTCTTTTCCTTAGACCTTGTAGATGCCACCCTTTCAAGAATCTCTCCACGACACTGGGCAACAATCCTTGAAGGCAAACAAACTGTACACTTTTCACCCAGATGTTGCTTAGACCTTGTAGATGCTACCCTTTCAAGAAGCTCTCCACGACACTGGGCAACAACTCTTGAAGGCAAACAAACTGTACACTTTTCACCCAGATGCTACAATAGAATTTACAATGTAATAACAGGTGATCTGTTGCTGAGTACACATTCTGAAGAATCAATTCCCACACCTCTATTCAAGAGATTATCCTTAGACAAGATCTTATTAAAATAGGCAGACCAGATGAAAAAAGCAACTTTTGAGGAATGCATTTGCACCATATTAGGCTCGTAGGGTACTCCTGATCTTTGGCATTTTTGTATGCACTAATTAGCTGTTTTTAGATTCACACCCACATTTTCATCCTTGTCAGACTAGAATTTTACCATTACACCAGGCAGTTACACTTGCTAGAAGATGAATCGTCTAAATCTTCTAAATATTCATCTTGAGCATCCATTTGGATCCTGAAAAGATTTTGACTAAAAGAATCTTGAGAAAACTTGATTAGAGTTTTGTCTTTTGCATATCACACATAGTCCACATGAGTTGGCAACCAACCCCTTGGGCATACTGGAATGGACTCAATGTTGTGGGCTCTTGGGTCAACTTAACAATTTATTTGGCTTGGGCTTGCTTGAGATTATTTTCTGGTTCTTGGAATTAAGTTTACTTGCATGCGTGAAAATCTGATTACTGTCCCATCATGACAGTCACTATATGGCCCACAAAGATTTAGGGGGACAAATGGGTTTGACTTTCCTTTCCTCAATCTCTGTCTCTGCAACCTCTGGGATTTGTTGTTTAATGTGATTCTAACATTGTAGATTTGTCAGGGCAGAAATGCTAGGGCAATACAATGGTTGAAGACTTTGGACCTGTTCCATCAGTTCTCCTTTAATGATTTGGAGAAACTGGTTGGCAATAGTGTGGTGCTCTTCCATTAAGAACAGGGTAGTCCCAAGGTGGTGTCCTCTGGTTGAAGGCTCACTGAAGCTGAACTTTGATGGTAGCAGTTTGGGCAATCTAGGGCCATCTGGAATGGGGGGGGGCTGAGGAACGAGCTTGGAGAGGTTGTTCTGTTGTACTTGGGTCCTATGGGACTTGGTGACTCTGTTAGGGCAGAAATGCTAGCTGCTGGCCTGCTGTACAAGGGATGCAGTTTGCAAACCAAATGGGGGTACAGCAACTAATTATTGAGGGGGACTCAAAGGTGGTGGTGGGCTGGTTATGTCAGGAGAGGCTGCAGCTCACGCCCTTCCAAGGGATCTTGTATGAGACTGTAATCATGAATCAGTTTCTGTTTTAATATAATTCCATTATCATTCATCAAAAAAAATTGTAGATTTGTTAGTGTGAATTCTTCAAATTGGGTACCTGGCCTGCAGCCTTTGAATTCAAATAAACATTTGTGTGGAATAACAGAAGCCAATGGTTAGAATCACATTAAGATGCCTGTTCTAACTTTTAAGGTGGGATTAACCACTAAGCTCTCTAGTACAGGTGCCACGAGTCAGGAAGGAATAGGCTGGGGATTTTAATTTGTAGGTTCCATGCTGGTTAAAGCCTCAAGTTTAGCAGATATAGTTTGGATGAAGACAATGATTTAAACCCTGATAATGGCTTTACCTGGATGGTTGCAGAAGGCTAGTTCAGCCTTATCAGAGAACAAGGCACATGGATTAGAAAATCCAACTTCAGTTGACCTGAACATTTGGATGAAAGACTCAAGCTAGTATTACATCTGGTTCATTATTTGACTATCCAGGTTGACCAGGCAGTTCATGCTTTCAATTATATCATATTGGGTGCAAGCTATATGGTTTGTGAGTTGTTGTCCAAGGACCATTTGGTTAAGCAATCCAGTATGGACAAGGTTTTGAGATAATTCTCAAACACCATATATATATATATATTTTTCTGCAGGCTTTAAGGTAGTGATTTTGTTCCCCAGGGGAAAGTAAATGGGCACTTCTTAGTTCTTGCATCAAAGAATGTTCATCATGAACCTAATAATAGTATTTACTTTCTCTTCTACCCTCAATCTTTTAATGCTGTAGGATTTGCTTTATCTTATACACTCTTTCTTCATTTTCTTTTCAGGTTTTCCGAGTAAATGCCATTTTTATCTGTTATCATGTTTCTCCCCTTATTTTTTTTCTGTAAACCATTATTATTGTTATTATTGTGATTGATAATGGATTAATTATTGATTGCTTATTATTCATTGATATGTAAAGAAATTTATCATTATGAGAGTGGAAAACCATCCTATAGAAGTTTAACAAATAACATAGTGGGCATAGCTGAATGCACAGGCACGGTAACTTTATGAAAAAAAAAAGAATCTACTGGTTATCTCTGAGAATGAATTCCAAGTTCAGAAAGAAGCTGTATGAGTTTTGGTTTTGAAAACCTTCAGGAAAAAAATAAATAAATGCATTAAAGAAAATTTGACCATACCTCAATTTTGCTCTATAATATTGCACTTATTAAAATCTTGACCATTCCTTACCTTTTTTTTGATCAGTAATCAAAAGATGTCTTTTATTAATATGCAAATAATGTTACATCATGCAATATAAAAGAAAATGATCAAAGGATATGTGATAAAGTTACATCTATAGAAAAGTATAAACTATTAAATACTCAATATTTTTTAGGATTCTAAATTATATAGCTATAGAGATGGTCCAGAACTTTATTTGTTGTTACTTAACAATGGTTTCTATAAAAAATACTATTCATTTACACTAGTGTATGGACACGTGCTATGCATGTGTGCAATGGTAAAGATATAAGTTGATATTGTGTTTTAAATTTAACTTTTATGACCTGCACCAAAACCAAGGCAAGTATGTGCTTTGTAATACTATAGATATATTAGCTATTCATTTATGCCAAATAAGCAAACTATATAAAAGAAAATGTCATGTTGAAGTGTTGATCAAGAACCCATAGAGTGTCAAAATTCAATGCATGTCTGACACAAACAACTCATCTACTTAGGAGAGTCCATTCATTAACTAGGGGTGCAACCAAATACCCAACTTGAAGAATTTATACAGCATCAGGCCCAGGCCTGGGCCCTTGGTCGGTTAGTCTAGGCCCATTTAAATTTTAGCAAATGCTCAACCCAAACCACACCCAAATTGCAGCCGTACATTGCAACATTGGTGCTAGCCATTGGCCAACAAATCATGGATTCTTTTGATAATAACATACTTGATGACCTCAAATGAATAAATCTGTAGTGATACAGTGGACCAGACATGATGTTCCTTGTTTATGTGGTCCCATAAGTTCAGTTTATTTCTTATTTCTTGCATTTATACTTGCTTACTTGTACTATTGAACATATAAATAATACTGCCTTGGGCGGCAGTAAGTGGTTTTAGCCCATCGCTCTCTTGCTCTTCCTTTGCTCTTTCTTCTCCTTTCTTTCTTCCTTTTCTCTTCTTCTCTTCTCTCTTCTTCTTCTTGATTTCTGTTTTCATTCTGTACCCAGAAGTTCTGCTAACAGCAGTAACTTAAAGTTGGTATCAGAGCAGGTTTAGGTCTGCTCATGAATCTCATGTAGGCTCTTCCCAGCCGTCTACATGAGAGTTTAATATGACTGGAGTTCTAGTTCTGTTCGTGGCCTGATTCTTGGAGATTGGTGGAATTCGAAGCCTTGCCCAGGACGTTTCTATTCTTGGAGTTTGCCTAGCAGTCAGGAAGAATTAGAGAAAAGTTTTTGAGGTGAGATTTAGGGTTTAAATCTCAGTTTGAAGGTGCCACCCAGAAATTTCTGGGTAGTTTTCTTTCTCCTTAACCCTCCAAAGGACTATTACTGAAGGATATTCTTTTCTGATACCTCTGAACAGTGTACGGACTGATTAGGGTTTTTGA